AAATAATGATGGCGTTGATATGTATATGAAATTAGGGATAAAAAAGTGAAATTCATATAATGGCTTAAAGGGCTGGGTGAAGCGAGTTTATTTGGTGGAAATGTCATGAAAGTGAATTCTGAAATTGTCAAGCAGAAGAGTCGAGAAAATGATTGAGTTGCATTTGAAAATAAGAGACAAAGATGGAGTTTTGATCTAGTCTGTCATTGTTGATGAACTTTTGAATGTTATGAAGAGAGTTTTCATGATGAATTCATATTCTGTTGCGAATCGCAAAATCTGTTTTTCCTTCTAATTCAATACCTGTCCGCACTTTGAATTCAAGGGAAAATTTGGTTTTTGTAGAATTTTTACATTGGGGAGTACCGACAAGATTGCAGGTCCAGAACAAACCAGCCTTTATGTTCGGTAGTATTTTGCCATACCTGTTTTGAGAAGGAAATAACTGTCCGAGGAACAGATTGGATAGACGTGCTGAATCGATCCCGAAATTGCGTAAGATCAATACTCAACCGTTATGGTTTACCAGATAGAGTGCCCATAACTGGTAATAGACTAACCTCATTGAATAGTTTACTTGCAAGTACCTATTTCGATTGGCAACCTCTTCTCGATTCGTTGCCCCGTAACATAGTGACACTCTGTGATGAAAACTGCTTGAGTTTTTGTATTAATTCGCAAAAACTTTAATTATTGCACATATTTGAGGATATTACGACCTAAGTTCCTTTATGCTGATGTTTGACTCTTCCATACTCTTTTTACGAAAAGATAGATATATAGATATTTAATGTATAGATCAATAAAGAGTTACTTACTTCTGATATAATTGTGGAGTCAATATTGTCATCATAAACCCATTTCTTACAGTCTGCAAATTTTTCAAATTTTTTAGCACTTTTTAACGGTTTATTCTATTCGCAAAAAAGGAAACCAAGGAAGATGCCCAATAGATCCAAATGACTGTCGGATTCAGTTATTAAACGCTCATTTGGTTTCAATGAATTTTCAATACGCGAAACATCACTTTAAGCTTGCGTTAATTGCGTTTACAAATGCATGCAAGCAAGTTAAGCGCTCATTATGAGCAGAAATACACAAAACCAGAAATCAGTTGAATTTTTCGCGTTTTCTGCTCGTCATAGCAACACTACGCGAATATTTTCTGCACAAAACTTTTAGCTTTGAAGCGCCTGTAAATTTCATTGTAATTGCCACATGTACATAATTACATGAAATTCATGTGAATGTGTTAATTTACGCTATTAAATAGCTTTAAAAAACGTGTAGTATGGCCTTAACTATGTAAGTAGTTTTTCTTGCATTCCTTAAGCACGCTAATTGCTATCTTTTTTTACTAAAACTCAAGTTTATTCATTCACTTTTATGTTACAGGTCAAAGTTGACATTTAATTTACATTCGTTTACCAATTTGAGTCAATTCGTGTCAATAAGTTATCCTAAAGGTAAATATCATAAACAATATGAACTCAAACAATTAATTTGAATTTTCTGTATTATACTTTTTTCATTACTTATACCAGGTATAAACATGAAGTGCTCATCATGCTGGGGATTCATCAACATAAAGGATCAATATTATTTTGATAAACAGTTGAAATTTCATTGTGAAGCCTGTTGTGGTGCTGATGCTCATCAATCAGCAATTCAGGAATTGATGAAGTGCGATACCTGCGACTCAACTGCTCGTTGGACATGTTTATGTCATTTCATGAACCATTGCAACTCATGTTTACTTCATGTTCATGAAAATGGATTAAATAACGGCATACAAAGGTTATTTGCTAATTCGCATCTGATTTGCGAGGAATGTAATTTAATTACATCAGATTATACAAACAAAGAAAATGGTAAAAATTATGCTTCGCCTGTTTCAATGCCAATCATAGAGCATCATCTTGTGAAAAGATGAATAGTGAAAAAAGCCAACATTTCCAAACTCTTAGACTGCATAAATAATTTAAACGATAGAAGTCAAATGAATGATGTGGCCAAAAAGATTACAATGCTACAAAATTTTGTCAGTCATCAAGATGAACAATTTGAAAAAATAAAGCAATATGAGGAAGCAAGGAGATCTAATTGTAATCTAATCGAGAAGTTGTGAGAGGAAATGATGAAATTGGAGTTTTTTTCATTGTCGGATGATCTTTCATATAAAGCAATTATTTTTCGCAAATATTAGCAGATGAACGTGTTAATGTCAATGTATTTGATAATCTTTTACCGGAACCAGTCAATGAGGATAAGATGAAATTGAAATCAATTGAAGTTCAATTCAAAGTTGAAGATGTCTCCTTCACTTACATGTAAGTGAATCAAAATTGCAAATCACAGGTAAAGGTGCGTTGTAAGAATTGAATATCCAAGGTATAACAATATTCGATTTTTATAATCCTGACAATATTCAATTTTTGAAAAATGAAGTTAAGAGTCAAAGTTACCCACAAATTGTCAATTTCATTGCTCCATATTGTACTTTCGCATGTGTATAATAATAGCGCCTCAATATTGACTTTTCAAATAACATTAGAAGCATTTTATGATTCAAGCAGGAATAATTATATCCATGATGTACACGAAGCAAGTTTGCCCAATACAGCAATACAAGTGGCTAGTCATTTCCTAGGTCATATTACTTGAGAAGAGGAAATAAACTCGTCATTCATATTCATTACAGTCAACATTATTTTAATAATAATGATAATAGTCTTTACATTGAGCCGATCAAATAACGTTAAAACATTATTACAAAGGTTTAGATTGTTTGGGTAAACAGAACATTGATGAACAAAAAAATGAATGTTGAATCTCCTGAGATTTTTATTCCATTCACTTAACCAATTGCAATTATATTTACATTAATGATTTTTTGTAAAAATTCATTGCCCTGAAATGGAATTTTGAAAAGCAAATACTAAAGAAATGATAAAATAAAAAGTTTACTCTTCAAGTGTAAATCAATGGGTAAATTTGCGAGAGAGTAAAAAATGTATTCAATGTTTTTCCATGTAATGTTGAATTTAGTGCTCATCACTTTCATGGAAAAAATTGAAACAAATGGCAAAAATGAATAAAAATCAATCGATTTAATCATCACTTTTGTTCTTGTTTCCATGAAAGCTGTTTAAACCATTGGCTGGAAAAGATATTCAAGATTTGCATAAAAATGTTATCAAAGTGTTTTCACTGAGCCATCATTATCAGGATAAAAATGAGTATAATGGTTGAGGAAACTCCTTCTGTGGACATTTGCTTTGAATATAAAAAGTTGAAATATGAGGATAATGATGATGAGAATGGATGATGAATAGATGGACAGAGTATATTGATGGTGAAATGGCAAGAACAAAGTTGATTTATCAATTCCAAGTGGAAAGTTGTCCTTATTTTTGCGCTTCACCGTCAAACTGACAAACGATGAATTGAAAAGTACAATTTTCAAGATTAATCAGAACTTTTCAGCTTTTTTCAAAGCTTTCCTAACTTGAAGCTTCAATCTTAACTTTACATGTCAACAGGAAAACAAAAGATTTTGAAAATGAAGCAACCATGAAAAATTAACTTTAAAATCATTTTTTTCCTTCTCTCAACCTCATGGTCATCATTGGAATCATGATCATGAAAATGAGAACAAATGGCAAGTTTTATTCAACAGAAAAAAAAGTTTACTTCACTTGAATACATTGGAATAAATAATGAATTTAATTTTGACAGAAGAGAATGTTTTTGCTGTGGAAAAATTTTCTCCAGTTTTTTTCACCAGCATTTCAATGCATTGGAATTAATCAGATAATAAAATCAATGTTTCATGTTTAAAATGATACATTTAGTTGACAGTTTTTTTCAGTTTCAATAAAACTCTCGTCGGATTAATCGCTGAACAGGAGAAATAGTTTTTTTCTTTGAAATCAAATTGAAACATGAAATTGTTCAAGAGGTTTAGTTGACTGTTGGAAGTATATTTATCATTATATTTGGATAAATTATTTGAATTTGGATTCGAGCTTAACTTTAACTTTTCAAGCTATTATTACCTTTTCATTTTGAGCTTTCTTTTGTTGCTTAAACATTACCTTTGGTTAAAGTTATTGCGACAAGTTTGCAAGATGAATTGATTCACTTGTATTCACTTGTACATTGAATATCGATAACACATGATCGATCTGTTTCTTTACTGTTTCATGGAAAGTTTAACTTGGAAAAATAATGACAAAGATAATAATAGATTATAGCAGCTTCTTATTTGTCTTGATTGTGTTTCTTTGGATAAAACATTTGAATAGTTTCTGGTTACTTTACGTTCGAAATTTTTTTTGTTCATCTTTAAGGATTGTCGAGTTATCAAATGAATTATGAAATTTCAAGTTGGATTGAATCACAAGAAATTTTATTTCCACAAAAAAAATAATGTCAAGTTAACAATGTAAGGCATCTTAGAGTTGCTTAGCAGTAGGGATTTAAGCTCTATTATTGATTGGCAAGCTTTAGGTTAGATTAGGTTAAGTTTGGTTTTAATGAACAGCCCGTTTAAGGTAAAAACGACTCAATGAGATTAATCATTGCTCATGGTTCTGTCACAATCCGAAGTTGAGTTATGATTGAAATTAACTGAAGTCAAAAAATCTTATTTGTTTAACTCATGAGTGAAAAGCTTTATTTAAACATCAGCTGCGTCTTGACAAATACAGTCAATGTCTTGTTACCGATAATAATAAAAGTTTGCCAACAATTAAAGGAAAATAATTGTGTCATTATTACAATCGAAGTTTTCTCATGAAAAATTACTGTTTAGATTGTTCTTTCATGGAAATTTTCAACCTAAATCTTTAGTTTAATGAATGCAAAGAAAATTGAATTCAATAGTCTTTATGTGAGTTGAAAGACTTTATTAGATTTCCTATGTAATTGGAGTTTTTGCTTTCAAATTATCTGATTATTTGTTTTCTCATTTAAAAAGTTAAGCATTCTTGGCTTACCTTTTGGTAAAGGCAGGTAAACATTTAGATAGAGACAATCTTCACTTTGATTGGATAAATGTGGGATTATCCTTGAAAAGTAGCCATAATTTCCTCTCATGAGATTTTCATTTGAAGGTGAATCCTTAATGTTACCCTGAGCATCAAAGGCTTTGGGTAACTTTTGTGGACACACTGGCTGGTAATGGTTAACCAGTCGAGTCCCACGCCAATGAGCTGGTGTCACTGGAGGCATGAAGCGAAGCGAGTTGACTGGTGGTGCAGCATAAGGTACTCCAAGAAAGGCTTCAACTGAATTCAACAGACGATAACCTTTCAAAGGTGATTCAGGTGTTCTGTCAGAGGCAACATTTTCACTTGAAGAGGGCGACTGTAAAGATGATGGTGAGGAACCTGGTGAGGCAGGTGAAGACACTGAAGTAGTTGAACTGGGTGATGATGATGAGGGTGAAAGTGATATAAGTATGCCTTGAAGGAAACCATACTTAGTCTTCACCTTCCTGGGTGACAAAAGTTTATCAAATTCATTACTATCAACATTTGGCTCGTTGACCGAATCACAATTAATCCAAATTGAAGTTGATGAAAGGTAAAACATGATGACAAAAAGTTGACCTTTCATGATAAAAGCACAAGAATCAAGAAAAAAGTTGAAAAAATGTCAATTCACCAAACACACTTCACAATCACATTGAGAAATCCCATGTAAATGATGATGAAAAAAGCGTTGAACTTTAAATTGATTAGCAATCCAAGGATTGAGCTTGCATTTGAAAACATTTAACCTTTACCTTTGAACAATAAACAGCTCGACAAAAAAGCTTTACAACTTGAAATGTTCATATCGTTGAGTTAAAGATGGTAAAGAGAGCAAGAAAATATGATGATAATGATGATGATCAAGAGAAGAACATTTTTTTTCCTTTTCATTAATTTTACTTATTCCATCTAATATTTCCTTCTTCTTACCTTAATAAAGCTTAGTTTGCTTCTTGCTTTTTTATACTCTTTTTTATCGTTTTATTAGATGTTGTTGTTGGTTGTTGATGATGATGATGATGTTACAGCAACTATTGTTAACATTTAAGGTAAAGGTAATAACGTCTTGACAAATGATTAGCTTAACATAGCTACGAAAAGAAAAGCTAAGCTCAACTAACAAACCTTCATATTTCTTTCTAATTTCATCATTCAGTGACTGAGAGAAAAGGTGAAAAATGAAAAGACGAGATGAACAGGGAATCGACAAGAATGAAAGATTTAATTTTTCCTCTTTTTCGATGTTCAGTTTTATCCAATGGTTTTGCAAGTTTCACTGATGTCACTAATCGTTATCGAGTCCTTCCAGTCAAAAGATCACTTTTTGGAAACATTTTCTTTTCACATTCTTACATGAACACACATTTACATGTGAAAAAATGTTACTCTTTTTTTCTGGTTGACGAAGACGAAATCAATATTATGATAATATGTTGACTTGGCATTGGCTATTTCATCAGTTTTGTATTGTATTCAATCTATTTTTGCTCTGCATTTCCCATTTGTTGAGCTTTTCAACTTTTTCCTTGATTTGTTGCCTTTCAATATTTTTTCATAACTTTTCCTTCCAATTCCAATGGTTTTATTGATTGTGTGATAAAAACTTGCTTCTATGGATTCAGATTAGCGTGAAGAGAGTAAAAAAAGTGGCACATTTGAATGTAAACATTGAAAAATACATTTTTCTTTTTCTTCTTTCTTTTTTATCTATTTGTGTTTCGAAGTGAAAAAGCTATCAACATTTACAAAGATCCTTTTCACTTGTATCCTTTTTGCATTTCAATGTTGCTGTTGGTTTGGTTTGTTGATGATGATTATGATGAGGATGAACAGTCGATGAATGCGCTTTCAATTTACTGATGATGATGTTAATGATAGGGAAACACACAAGGATACATGAAAAGAAATGGAAACTTTTCTGGATTTTTGTCTTCTTTACACTGGCCAATGCACAGGATAAAATGGGAGTGAAAAAATTGGTTAAACTTGAGCTTGGAGTGAGAGAAAGGAGTGAAGATTATATCGATAAGTTTAATGCGCATGATAAACTGTTAGACTCAGACAATTTTATTCTCAATGCACTTGTTTCACATCTTTATATTCAGAAGTAGGATAAGTATGATAAGAAAAAAAAGCAAGAATAAACTGTCCAATTAATTTCATGGGATTGGGTGAAAAAAAATAAAACCAAGGAAAGAAATGCATTAATTTGCCTGGGAATGAAACCAACTCGATAGATGAATTGGAAGGGAATGTTGCAAGAATGGCGAAATGTATTCATGATCACTGACTTATTTTCTTCTGAGTTTGGAAGTTGCTAAATCGACTCTAAATTTAACTAGACTCGACTTTTGATTCTTGGATTTTATGAGAGTTTATGGACTTCTGAAAAAACTTTGGAACGAATCTAGTTCCTAACAAAGTTCGTCTTGTGTAACTATTAGAATAGTTTTTCAGAGTAGACGTTTAATTTCGAAGAATGATGTTCAGTGTAAACAGGATTCTATTGGAGAGAATCTATCAAGAGATGTTAGTTTAATTCGTAAATTATGAGAAAGCACCAGCATTTAGTCAATGAGTTGGATTTGCAGCCGCAGTTCGATTAAAATTTTTGGTTTTTTGTGTTCAGTTCAATAGTTTTCAACAACATTTATGCATTTTGTATGAGATTTTTTTTTGTTTTGCAGATTCGCTCAAAGTTTAGATGAAAGATTTTTAAACATTTATTTTGATTTCAATGGATTCAATCTTTAGTTCAGTTTATTTAAATTATTTTCAATTGCCTTCCATGTGGGTATTCTTCAAATCAAAACAAAATGTTATAAAATTTCGAGTCAAGACAATTTACATTTAGTCTTGCTTTCGGGCAAGGGAAGGTGCCTAACCGATTTGATTGAGGAAATACTTTGATAGAATTTATAGAAGACGAGAAAAAATTCTGATAAAAGTTGATCTGCAAATGTTTACTTCAATTTCTATTCAAATTTTAAGTACTTTGAATTTGAAAATATCATTCACTGTGTCAGCAATGTCTTTGTTTTGGTCATTTCCTTGTACAGTCAGCTCGTTTGATTAGACTTAAAAGTTGAATGAAAATTGAAGCAAACATTTTCATTTCTTAAAAATCTGAATCACACTTCAGAATTTTTGCCTTATTTCTATCAATTTATCAAAGAGTTTGCTAAATCAAATCGTACAAGTAAGGCATCTTCCCTTGAAATGGATGCATTAAAGTTGTGACTAATTCTTGATTTATCTACCAGCATTCCCATTCCAAGGCCAATCGTAAGCAAATGAACAGCAACGTCCCTTGTAAGCTATTGATCTTGACTTTATTATTCAAGCATTATACATTGTATGCAATAATTATGTAGATTGCAAGTAACATAGACAGTAATTGAGATCGTAATTTGATTCCATTAATAACTGAATAGAGTCAAATAGAAGCTATCTTGACATTAAATGATACTTTTTGTCAACACACAAGACTACAATGTAACTAAATTTGCAAATAAACTTTTCGAGGTAAACAAAAGATCGTTATGAAAGCGATCACTCAGATGGCTAAATAATGATTCAACTCTTATACAATCTCATTCTTTATGAGCAAATCAATCAAATCTTTTCTTTTGCCCACTAACCCAAGATTAATCCACTAATTTTAGAACTGAATTCGGATAAATTTGGAAACCAATTTACTACTGACGCCAATGTTCGTTACATCATGACATCACAATCAAAGCCAATCCAAGTTTCTTCTCACTCCAAACTATGTTAATCCATCGAGTTTTGTTTGCTTTTCATTTCAAGTTTATTACAATATTTATAATCAATTAATTCAGTTCAATCAACTTGCAGATGAAAGATGAGGGTTTGACTTATCAAAACTTGTGCTCTTTTCATGCATCAACACATCATCATTGATAGCCTTCAAATGAGAGTAAATTATTCATGATAAAGGTTAAGAAATATTCACTTTCAGAATAAATTAGAGCTTCTTTTTGCGCAAATTATTCTATCTGATTAACTCTTAGTTTCAGTTGTAATTGTGCTCGACTTGGTGAAACATAAGTTTTGATATTTTGTGCAAACATAAGAACCAAAAAAGTGCTTCTAAATTATCATCAAAATGAATCAACGAAATCTATTGAAATGCCTTTTAATTACTTTCCTTTCTCAGGTAAGAATTTGTTTTCTATTTCAAATCAAGTTTTAATATTGAATAAAATTTCAATAACATTGTTGAATAGGTTTTAAGAAACGATATTCATTGAATCGCAATTTCATATCAATAACATGAAATGAGATGAGAAACGAATAGAAATGAAAATAATAAAAAGAAAGGAAAACATAAAATAATCAAATAAAGAGGATTACGAATGAAACAAAGATGTAATAGTATAACTAATAATAGTAATAATAATATATGGATTGATCTTGTGATATGATAATCGTAAAAAAGGTTCAGAGGAAGAAGCAGAAGAAGAGGAAAAAGAGAAAAATGAAATAAAAATTGATATAAAATGAGTTTTCCTTCAGCATTGTAATGTATATTTTATTGTGTTTGTTGTTGTTTTGTCATCCAAGTTTCTTTAAAGCATCTCAACATGTAAGATAACCAGCCAAGACAATGGATCCAATGTTATGGCTTGAGTTATTGTATTCACCTTCAGTTGAACAGATTGACATTTAGTGTTAACTTTGTGAGTTTACTGTTATCAATTTTGTCCTCAACTTTTGCAATAGACAGAAAGATGAAGATGAAAGTGATGAGAGGATGATTTGGAGATGATGGAAACGCGGTAATGGGGTGAACATGGGAAGATGGGAAAAACATGAGAACATGATGAAAGTTGGAAAATGATATGAAAAGATGAAGAACATGTGAGAAAATCATTCAATTGTTGGAGTGAAATGTTGACGAAAAAACTAAGTGAATGATGAATGCGAAAAGAAAAGCAAATTTGCAAGATAATGCCGAAAATTCAGCCTTGTGTCTGATGATAATTTCACATTCAACTCTTTCCAATAGCCGGTTGCCATTCAAGTTTGACTAATTTTCGGTTTAGTCGAGAACAAGTTTCTAAAACTGTTTTGAAGTTCGATAGATGAAAGTGCAGAATAAGAAGCGTTTAGACAATTGGTTGAGAAGTTTTTTTGGTCAAACTTTTGTAGCTAAAATATGAAAAAATCCTTTATTAAGATTAATTTGTTTCTTCGCTGGAATTATCAATGATGGACATTTAGATAGCCTCACTTGCAGTCATTCGAATCAAATTTGACCACGAATGATGTCGAACTCGTATCAATCAAGACTGTCAGTTTGAAACGATATGAAACTTTCTATTATTTCTAATATTATTTTACTTTTTCTTCTAAAAATTTTCAAATTCTGTATAAATCTCATTGAGAGAGCACTTTTTGGAAGTTGAAACAGCACCAAGAACTTCATTTAGACTTTTCATTATTTCTTTAACTTCCATTTATTTCGTTTTACATTTTTTGTTGATTTTTCTGGAACTCTGTTTCGATTAAATTCACCGAAAAATGCTAAAAGAGCCAAAACGATTCATAAAAATTTTAAGATTATTTCGCAGTCGAGTTGATCGATTTCTGTTTTCTTCAAATTATTTTTTCGTTTTCAACTGAAATGACTTCAGATTTTTCAGCTAGAAACTGGTAAAAACACGAATAAACGAAATCTTTTATAGCCTTTTACCAATCGACTGGATACAAATGAATTAAGCTAAATAAAGTCTATTTTGATAACTGAAATTGATTTCATTCATACGAACTTCAACGTCTTCTAGATGAGACGAAAAGTCCGTCTTTTCCTTCAACGAAATTAATTCAATATTAGTCAAGTAAATTGGCTCTTTTTTGTCGATTAATTGCATTTAATTTACGATGAAACGTTTGAGTGCCATTGATGAACCTTATTACCGTTAAAGTAAACGTTGATTGCTCAAGGTTTTCAGTTTGTTCAATCAAAGGATCATGTTTTTTTTCTGATTGTATTTAATCATTAGCTAATTTAATTTATCACAAGAAAAAGTGAAGTTATCTTGATAATGGAAAGAACAGGGAAAATGAGTTGGAATGAGTGTTCAGCATGATAAGATGAATTGCTTGAGACTAAAGGAAAAGAGGCCAAAATGTAAACGGTAAAATGAATGAGTAAAAATATCTCTGTTCATCATCATTCTCAGTTTCTGGTTAAGATGCAAAGATTTGGTGACAAAGTTAATTAGAGAATCTTTTTTTTTCTCTCTCTTCTTCTGTTAATGATTCTCAACTCTTTTTGCACTTTCTTTCATTTCTCATTTTCATGTGCTTTATCATAAACTCGTTATCTTAAACTTTGATACTAATAGCCTTTCATATTCATCATTCAACATATCACTTTAATAATGAAAATGATGCAAACTAATCAATTCTTGTTTCTCCTTGTGCCTCATCATCATCATTAGCTGTCATTAACCAGCCAATATTCAATTGCTTCCACTCAAGAGCCAGATAAATTGGATGCTTTGGTAAGTAGAGTCTTAATTTTAATAGAAAATTTAATAACAACGAAAAAATCAAATTTCAAGTTTAAACCTTTTCGATTCAGATGTTTTCTGACTTTATTGATCTTTAATAGTCGGTAGTTGATAATTTAATGATTGTCAAAGTTTAATTGTTCAATGAAAGGCAAAAGAAAATGGTTCAACTGATTAGCTGATTCACTTTTCACTTGACAGTTAAAGCTGTTTTCTTGCTTTTTTTGTCTTCTCTCAACTATTTTTGTACTTGATTCCAGAACTTTTTTGCTCTACTTTGATTAGCCCTTTCAGTGGAAATAGATTGAAAAATAAGAAGCTATTAAGAATCAATTGACTCTGGACAGGTGAATGTTGAAAGGTCAAACTTATTCCCTTTCAAGTTGACCTTTGTTTAAATTGAGCAAATCACTCCATTGGCTGGGAATCCGGATTGGAGTGAAATGGTTCAACTAAAGTTAAATCTTTTTGGTTTTTTAGTTTTATTTTTATCTGAAAATTGTTTGAGACTTAAGTTTGGTTTTCATTTTTCTTGGCTTCTTCTTAGCTTTACATGTTTGGAGGTGGCAATCCAAAGGAAACTCAGGAAGGTTATCAGATTGTTGATGGTGATGTTGTGGTTCCTCTTTTACGGGATGAAACAAATGATATTCTTGCAGGTAGAAAAGCAATTACAGATTCGGTTCTTTATTGGCCTTCCGGAGAAATTCCTTATACTTTTCATCATTGTAAGTTCGACAGTTGGAGGAGAAATTTTCTTTTTTTATGTTTTCTTTTACAACTCTGTTCTTTTTCATTTGGTCAAATGTACAGCTGTAAGTGATGTTGAAAGGAAAGCCATTTTAACTGGAATGAATCATTGGGAAAATGAAACTTGTATAAGATTCCGTGAAGCAACAGCTAAAGACTATTTTCTCATTCGATTTCGAACTGATCAACCTGGCTGTTGGTCATTGGTTGGACGGCAATACTCGCGATTCCAGAAGGGTCAAGATGTTTCCATTGGAAAAGGCTGTGCTCAGGTAAAAGAGATTTGCTTTTTTATTAAACTTTTATTTTGCGATAAGAATATTTTCCAATGCTGAAGCTAATATGAAGCCATTGAGCTTCAAGTTTTCAGTTGGTTAAAAGATGATTCAACGACGAAAGTTGCCGTTTCGGCAAATAATCGATGCAATATCGATGATCAACTTTACAAGACTCAGGTTGGTTGGTTTGATTTAAAGATTCAAAGTGTTCGTTTAGTAAGCTGATTAATCAATTTTCGCGAATTAATTGCAATCATTGGAGGGAACAAATCTGTATGAAAAGATTGTAAAAGTCTTCGAGTTGATTGTTGATAATGAAGAGTAACTGTTGATATTGGAGTAAATTAAAGGTGCAATAAGATGATCATGATTAAATTAACGCATAAAACAGTTTACACAACATTTTCAGTTTGTTATTGGACTTGCAATGATAATGATGATAAATGAAAAGCCTGGAAACAAAAAGAAGGGGAAAAATGTCAGAAATTATCTCTTTCATGAACAAGTTTACTCTTTTCATTATCAAATGTTAGGCGAGAAAAAACTCGACTCAAAGTTCTCAGCTATTCTAAGATGCTGAAAAGAGATGATAATCAAGATTAGGTTCAAGTAAATAAAGTTATCAAATCGAATAATCAACAATTTGAATCATTTTATCGATTCTACACAAATCTTCCAATATTCATTTACAAAAAATTTTTCAGCGAAAACTCAATAGTCGCTGAAAAAAAGGATAAACAAGAGTCATTTAAGATTTTATTTCATTTCGATATGAATTGAAAAGTGCCTTTAGATATTCAGTATTCGTTCAAATGCTCGTGAATTGAAATTAACGAGATTTCGATTGTTTCTAGAATCACAGTTTCTTCATAATTTTACTGTCAAAATGAATGTTATTGTTAAGATGTGATGATTGTTGATCATTTGGTGAGGATGGTGATGGAGGATGAAAACGGAATTTGGACTCTTGGATGATTTAATCGAAATCATCTTCATCTGTAAACTTTTTCTTTGTAATCTAGAGAACTTTGGATCTGTTCTTTACTTTTCGCTCTTTTTTGATATTTATCATCATTATCATCATGTTTGGACATCATCAACATCCTTCTTATCAGGGAGTAAAATTGTTCTCATCAGTCCAATCTTGTTTCACTTTTTATTCCCTGACTTTGACTGTACATCATCATAATAATCTCTTCATCCTTTCATCATTGATACTCATAAAGATGACGAGCAACATTTTTTTTCTTGATTCTCATGTTTTCCCTTATTCACAACATCTTTCATCAACATAACAACATCATTACCAGCAACTGGAGGTTGTTGTGGTAGTAAATGAATTTACTTGTTTTGACCATTTACAGCTTGCTAATGTGTTAATCTGCTTGCTATTAGATTTATTGTCACTATTATTATCATTATTATCATTGTTATCATCATAAACAGCAAATGAAAACAAATCATTTTCATCTGAAAAATAGATGCAAATGATTACGTTAATATTAAACGAATGATTAAACAAGAAAAACGACCGATCTTCATCCACTTATAGCAACACAAAAAACAATCGAATCTCGAATTCTTTAAATCGAAGCAAATGATTGAAAAATAGTCTCAGCCACAGTCGACCATGGAATGAAAACTAAAACAAGAATCAAGATTAACCCGGCAAGTGCCAGCAAATTAAAGGTTAAAATGAATCCAATTTTCTTCATCATTTATCTTTCTCAACCTTTTACCAAAGTTGAGTTAAAATCACGAATTAGGTTTTGGGTTAGAAACTGAACCTTGGATTGTTGATTAAAACGAAGATGAAATTATTAGAAGCCGAAGTGACACGAATAATGATAAACGATTGGTCGATGTAAGTGTTTAGTTAAGTCTAGAAAAGTCCAACTTTTGTTTTGTTATTCACTTATCCAATTGGTAAGTTGATGTCTAGCAATAATTTGAGGTTTCATTATTGGTATAAAAGTGTATAAATGTGAATAAAGTAATGCGAAAATACAATTTGAAAAAAGGAGATTTGCTTGTGTGTTCTGATGGGAATCTGTTTGGTGAACAAATTGAATAAAAATGTTGAATTGGAAGAGAAAAGGGAAAAGGTTGAATGATAAAGCTGAATGATAAAGATGATTATGGTAGAAGATGATGAAATGGTGCAAGTTGAGGCTTGAATGAATTCATATTTGATCAAAAAGATGATCCGATTCAACCTTTTCTCCTTGTTTATCGTCTTTCAACTTTTCCTTCTCACTTTCTTTACCTTTCCTACTCTTCACCCTCTTCTCTAACCAACTGGAATTGAAGCTGAGCTGAATTATCTGAGATATAAATTTTGTTCCAATAGGCATAACTAAACAGTTTCTCGTTGAGCTTATTCTTTTACTTTACTTTTTCCAACATTTCTAAGAACCTCTTCCATCCTTTTTCCTCTTCTTCATGTTCACCTTTTTATTAAAAGCATTTTTTCACCATTGATAGTCTCAAAAGTCTGATCACGTCTTCGTCTTCCTTTTCATCATGTCTCTTCCCTTCACTCAGATTACTTTACTTTCCTCATTTGTAACATTTCCTATCCATTTCAACCTTGCCCTTTGCACCAGTAAAGCCAAACGGGAAAGCCATTTGTTCACACCGTTAGTCGGCTTAACCTTCATTAGGGAAAAAAGAGTTTTACTGAACAAAAAAAACCTTTACCTTAAGCCTTTTTAAGTGCAACTTGTGCATAATGATATTAAGCTGTTCATGAGCTTGGAACTTGAAACAATTGACATTTTAAAATGATAATTACACTGAAACAATCTTGCAATCCTTTCCAATCAAATTGGCTAATCGTGATTTGTTGTCGTCTTGAGCAAATTATACAATCACTTGAAGATTACGAGTTTTGTACTCGTTAAAGACTTTAAATGGATCCTTTTGTTTTCCCTTCATTGGCAGCCTTTTACTCAACACTCACCTTTGGGAAACCCAAAGGATTCATTAAAATGTAAGTCGCAGTGAAAAGAGTTATCAACAGTAAGCATTCACTTTCGCTCTCAATTTCATGGTAAACTTTACAAAAATTAGTTGAACCAGATGAACAATAATAACATGAAAGGCAAAAAGGAACAAGTTCAGGGAAGATGATTTGGAAGCCACAAAATACGAGAGAAATGGTTTGATCTTGAAAAGGCTTTTTTCGCCACTATTTCTTTAATCATCCCTGAATCCTGGTGAAAATGGATGCTGTAAAAGATGGTAAAGATAAAAAAAGAGGAAAAAGTTGAAGTTGATTGTTCTTATTGTTGGAAGTGAAAAATTTACAGAAAAATAAATAGAACCCTGGAGACAATAAAAGATATTCTTAGTGAATTTCTTCCTCTTAAAACTAACATCATCATCATCATCAGCATTATCATCAGTCTTGTCATCATTGGAATCTTCTTCGTCTTCTTCTTCTTATCTTTTGTTTCCTTCAGAATGATTTGGTGTGTAAAAGCATAACTTGACTTGTGAATATAATTTGTATTCACATTCAGAATACAAAAGAAGTATTTGGTTTGGTTGGTAAATTCAATAGTCTAGAATGATGAAGAGAGAGAGAGAGTAAAGGGAAAAAGAATGAAATGCAATTGTCAGAATTGAAACGGAAATGATGATAATAATGGTAATGATGATGAAGAGGAGGAGGAGATGAAGATGCAACAAGATGATGAACAAAAAGACACTTTGACAACCTATTATTAGCTCATTTGTTTCCAATCTTCAACCTTTTAACTTAACCCTTAATCTCAATGTTAAAACAATTTAAAAGATGCTTTTGTTAATTTTCCAATCATTACAATTGAAAAATGTGGCATTCAATTTAATTGATGAATCAAGACCATTTGTTGAGAAACAATTATCTTCAAACTGTTGCCCTCAATCCCTGTTATTTTAATGCAAAATTCAAATATCGACTCAAATCATTCAATAACCGAAATCCTATTCTATTCAGTGTCCAAAATTATTTCACTGGTCCTTTTGATCTCTGGATTTTCTATGTTCGTTCTTTTTATGAAGCTGATAATGATTCTGTTATCCGTTCGGTTTACTTGAGCTCGCTCTTCAATTTTACATCTAAAGATCTCTTTAGTAATATTGTGGTGTAAAAGGCTTTGATTAGGATTGTTGGTTGACTGTTAATCTAACTCTTTAAATATGACCCATTTAGTAGAGGCACTTAGGTTAGTTGAGAGTAAAAGTTTTCCCATTTCATCTTGAGGTCATCAGCATGATTGGAGATGCAATAAGAGTTTAAACTGTTGTACATGGTCAGTGCCTTGCTTTATGAGCCATTTATCCAATTGTGGTCAATTGCGTTTTTCAATTTTTGTTTCAGAAACAAAACCCAACAAAAAAGTGTTAGTTGAAAGCATCCATTGTAAAGGAGTTTAACCAAAACCAAGTAAACACATGAAAGATGATGAAAAGTTGTGTGAAAATTTTCAATGTTGGATGAAAGAAGAGAATGATTGAGACTTGATCTGAGAGAATAGAAGAAGAAGAAGAATAAATAAGAAAAATTGACCATGAAAAAAGTAATCTATTATGAGGTGGAAAAAGGGTTTCCAGAGACGAGTAAAGGACTGAAAAGTTAAGCCAAGGGTTATACAAACTGTACTCTCATCATGTACTCAGGTTATGCATCATTTTCAAAGCAGGAAAACAGTTGAACATTGCTCTTTGCGCTTATCTGGATTTCACGATATTTAAACTTCATTTGATTCCAGTTAAACTGAATGACCTCAACGGAAACTTGCCTTTATAAATCATCTATTATTGATGTTGCTCATCATTCAGTCCTTTGAACCTTCCCTCTCAATCTTGTTCACAATCTTCACAATTTTCAGTTTCTTTTTATAAATAACTTTATTCACATTCCTCTTGGGAAGGCAAACTTGATTGTCATTTTTCAATGTAAACCAAATGTTCAGCTTTTTTCATGATTTTTCACTTTCTTTTCCATC